TATTTATTTATTATATATATATATATATATATATTTATATATAACACGTGGTTACGTGCACTTGTTCTAGCTGCTTCCACTTAAAGAAGGTGGGGTCGCTGAGGCAGACACATCTTTTTCCAACTTTCTCTACCATGGGCCACATTCTCTGTAGCTCCGATAGTAGTTACGTGCACAACGTGCACTTAAGACTTACAATACTTGTTTGCGTCACCTTCTTCTTTTTCCTTTTTTGTAATCTTTATTGTGTTTCTCCCTGAATGATGACCAATGTATACCTGCCACTGTCTTCCAAATAATTGAGACTTGGCTTGCTATCATAAGCGCAAGGGAAAGGCGCAATATAAATACCCAGTACCAGAAGAAAACATACGAATTTCACGCAAGCGTGTGCCTTTACCTCTAATATATTAAATATCACCCGAATTAACAATATTAAGCTTAAAACTGTGTTTTAAGTGGTATTTACATGCATGGTAGGTATATTTTCACCCGTATGTACCAGAGAACAAAAATAAACCGGAAAAAGACAGGGTTAAAATCACTGATTTTTGACAAAAGATAAGTTTTCGTTAAAGTTGGCCTTTTTCACCTTACCAGTTTCTTAATGATTCTTACATTATGGTATCCAATAATTATAAAATATTAAATACATATCATGCCTGAAATATACCGCTTTAACCTGATTTCCATAGCTGTTGAGAATTATGCCAGATTCTATACAATTTATAGGTTTATTACCTATCATCAGAATTATGATTATGTAATCATAAAACTTTCTATTCACATTCAATCAAAACTTCTCAAATTTGATTGCATAATTTACCACGTTGGTTAATGTTGATGAAGTTGTCAATGATGCAGGAGATTCCACGTGGACGACGAGAATTATTATAATGATGGTAGCAATTGTAATATCAAGAACAACACAACCATTTTAGTAATTAAAATAATTTAATTAAAAATATAAGTGCGCTCCAGATTCCAGCTCTGCTACACGTGCAAGAAGCCAAAAGCAACAGCAATTGACAAGTTGTAAGTTAAACACCGATGTTGAGTAAATCAAAACAGCTATTGTTTTCTCTTCTTCCTCTCTCCATCTTTTTTACTACCTGCCCTAGACTTTTGCTTATCATTATTTTATGGGCATTATTTCAGGCTCATAGCCAGGTTCATCCAAGGGGGGTTTTCTGGGCATGAGATCCATAGGTCGGCGAAACCCCCAAAGCAAGAGGATTTTTGTGCTTTATGTGTCTAAATAATGCTATATAAAAGCAGATATGTTTGAAAATGTCTGTCTGGGTGGGTCTGCAGTGCATTAGTTGGGTTGGAGGACTTATTTGGGAAATTTAAAGAAAAGAGGGGGAGTTTGCTAGAAAAGGGGGGGGGGGGTTTCTCCCGAACCATAAAACCCCCTGGGTACGGGCCTGTATATACTGCTACTTCTCAATCAAAGCATTCTTAGGTTATGCTTTTATGAATATATCATGAAAATTATGAAAACGGCACAGAAGAGAATTTTGTAAATGTGACATTTTAATGATATGTATTTATACACATATAATGAAAAATTGGTTATTTTAGCTATTTATATAACATATCATATGTTCACAGTGCTAAGTACGCAAACATTGTATTTTTTGTTTTAATACATCATACATATGATAATTATTTCAGGCAAAAAATATTTACAACAAAAGAAAATCATAGCATACCTTTTAAAATGCGTTTACAATGCATTTTTAAATATTGTACTGTGACCTAAAACACGGATTTAACAACGGACCTAAACACAAACTTCACTTGCAAACGCAGCAAACACTATTATAACTTAACTACAGACTCTACTATTTTAAAATTTATAATTATTGCAGTATTTATTTTATTGTTGTTGAAAAAATATGAGAAAATTCAATTGCATAATGACGATGATGCTGCGCCAAATATAACTTGATTAAAAAAAAAACAACTAAAGGAACAATTAAAAGAAATTTGCAGGTTCTTATATCAGTAGTATCATCACTCAGTTGAATTGTCACTTCGTGCTAAACATGACAGCACTATGTTTTATTAAACTGCAAGATCTAGTCACTGTGCCTCCTCTATTTACACATATAATTTTGGATTATGGAAAAAACTTAGAACACAAAGCTTAATAGGCCTATTTGAGAGAATTTAAGCGTAGGAAGTCAAATATGAATTGTGACATAATTATTTTCTCTAAATCATGATTTCTCTAATTAAAATTGTGTTGACAAAAACACTGCTCATGCATTTTACATGAACAAAATCAAGAAATGGAATGAAAGAAAAAGATTTGTAAATTTTGATCTGAAATTCTTTTGAGTAAATGCTCCGTACTCTACCGTATCAGGTGAGCACTATGATAAACTTTTAATCATTTTTTCTATGTACTGCAAATTGGTTAGGTTCCTAAAGCATCGTATCCTTTGTCTCAACTGCTGCTTTAGGCATGTCGATTGTTACTGCCTCTTTATTTTCCTCAATTTCTCTCAAGCCGGAATTATGTCTAAAAATAATAAGAGGTAAACATAATGTATTTTACGAACAAGATAAAATGAAAAATAGGCCTAAATAAACGATTTGAGAAAAGTTTAAAAGTTATGGTAAGTTTAACATGAAAATAAAAACAATTGGCAATGTATAGGCCTATACATTTACAAGCACATGATCGTATCGTATTAGTTAGCTGCATAGGCCGTGGCATCACGACGAGTAACGGAGCCCGGGAGCGAGAATGTGTTGGGGGTCCTATGCATGTTTTAGTCAATTACGAAGAACCCCTTCACATTTGAATATCAAACAATACCGTAACCAATTATATTACTATAATTTTAATTCGAATTCTGTGAATTCTAGTGGCCCTGTATAAAATTTATGATTTTCAAATTCATGTTTTTAACTTACCTCCTTCGGAGTGCAGTTGCACCAGAGATAGTTTTACCATCTTCTGTGTTAAACACGATCTTATCTGCTGGAACAGTGAGTGTCTGACCTCCCTCGAGAACGACACTAATGGTACCTCCACGAGCGCGACTTTCCTGCAAAGAAAAAATGATAAAATATCATCATCGTTCAATAATCAAGTATGGATGATGGAAAAAAAGTTTTAAAATATTTACTTACCTCTTCTTTCAGTTCTTCTTCAAAGCGAATTTCGTTATCTCTGACCTTCTTCGTACTCTCGGGAATAATGTCATCCAAGTAGCTGAGTTCGTATTCTGTGAAGAAATATTCCATCACCTTTCGGACAACGACAAGCGCCAAAACCTATGACGTGATAAAAGGAAGTCATACCATAGGTAAGGTAACTTAATAAAGATGGGAATAAAATAAAAATTGACATCACCTAAGATTTGCACTTACCAAGAGAGGGAAGATAATGCCTGCATCAGACTTCTTGATAACCCAGAGAATGGCGAGACATATAGCCTGAATGAGGGTGAAGATGTGGACACGCCATAACTTGACGTGACGTAGAAATGTGTAGTCTGGTTGGTATTTGGCTGGAGTGATGACCAGGAGGATACGGTCCACAAACTATGAAAAAATGTAAAAAAGGTTGATTAAATCAGTAACTAATATGGAATAATAGGAATAATTTCATAAGCGGATTAACAAAATCATTTTAGATCGAATATTTTGAAAACTCAAAAAACTATTTGTATGCTTATCATAAATAATGTCATACAAAAATTAAATAGATAAAAAGAGCACATTAATTTAAATTAAGCTAAAATCTTCTAATCAGCAAACATACGGGTGGTTGAAATCACTATATGCAAATTATTTAATATTCAAATACGTTATTCAACTGTAGGCATTCTATCTTTGTGTTTTGTAAGAAGTACATTATTTAATATTTACCTGGACTCCTCTGAGAGATGAAATTCCCATATACAAGAAGACTCCATATAAGACAGGCATGGGAATAAACTTTAGCAAAAACACAAAACGAAATTCATATTTATATATAATAATAAAAAATATTATTATTTTGTATTAATTATTATTATTATATATTATTATTATTGGTTTCACCTACAAATACACAATTGTGTGCTATTGAGAGTGTACAAAATAATAAAACATACATTTACATTCATTTCTATTTTAATTTCTAGCCAAGAGGCTAAATTATAAAATTAACAAAGAGGAACCGAATGCTCAAATCAGACATTAATTTACAGTATATATAATATAGAGGCCTATATATAAATTTAGACTTACTACATGTGTTGGTGTGTGTGTTCAATATGGCATAGAAAATTTCATAAAACCTTTTAAAGCTGTGGTTTTTAATTTGGTTTTGAGGTAGACATAAACCAATATAATACTTATAAAATAATAATATTATATAATACTTATATTACTTATAAGACCAATATAATATTTCAGAGACATATATTATGGAAACTAGTGAGACTTACAGACAGTAAATCCGTCATTAAAGAGGACAGTCCGATCATAATGAATACTAACAATCCTGTTACACGTTGCTCCCTGAAAAAAAAAAAAAAAAAAAAAAAACATAACAGAAATTAACAGACCTTTCCAGAATGACAATCAAATGTTAGGCACAGGTGTGGACTAAGCGTCGTGTCACAAACTCTGTCAATGTTATTGTTTATACAACTAGAAATTCCTCGTATATGCTTATTACGAAGAATGAATTGGCATAAAAGTATTGTCATTATTTTTTAATTCTTAAAAACCTTGTTCACTTGTTTACCGCTGTCTAAATGGTTCTGTTCCTAATATCTACGACTTGCTAGACATCAAAGAGAGTAGACGAGAGGTAAGATCAATAATGCTTCTGGACATCCCAAAGAGCATACATAGCTGCTTTCGGCACTGCCGCCGGAACAATGCTCATTAAACAATCCCCTTCACTTGACAGTTTTAAGTCGCTTTTCAAGACGCACCTTTTATAATAATCTCTCTTTTTTTAAAGGCATCACGAGCAACGACTGTTGGAATGGAACCATATAAATGGAACGATTGATTGATTGATTGATTGATTGATTGATTGATTGATTGATTGATTGCCGTGATAAAAACATGTTTATAACTCTGGAAAATTTGTCTGACTCACACTATAGTAGTAAATACGCGTTTTTACCCAACTCAAGAAACGGAACGCGTCACCGACAACGGTTTTAAGAGTGAACACATTCTGACGGTCGGCTGACCTGGTGCACAGCTAAACTCGTCTTACCTGCAACCTTGTACCTTTGGTGCCTCTCCTGGAATCTTCGTTTCCGACATTACTCTTAAACTGTCGACGTGGTTGATGGAAAGCACAGTGGCTGCAACAAACCATGGTAAACCGAGGAGTGACATAATCAGAAGACCAATACTAACTACCAAAAGATCCAAATGATAACCACAACCTTTCTGTAATGTAGAAAATTACGAGTTTTCACTTAAAAATGTATAGTCGAAACATGCGTTAAAATAAATATTCATATTTAAATAGGACACATTAAAGTACGTTTAAGAAACATGTTTTTCATACAGACATGAGCAGATAGGGTGACGAAAGAGATAAGATTTTTAGATTGCTTGATCTGACATTCTGAAAAACATTTCAGACTACTCACACATTTTCAGAAGAACAGACCAAATTTGCTGTTCACATTGTGAGACAGCCAAAGTTTTGGGTAACAAAACAATTTTGTTTACCTTTTTCAATTGCAAATTTAGCTGCGTTATAATTTTGCAGTGCATCAGGTGTTATTATTGTGTTGTTAATTTCTACGAACAACTCTCGGCATCAATAATGACGACATTCACAAATAGGTATCTTTTAATCAGTTTTAATTATGTCCTCATAGACCTAGCACGTAGGGATAACCCAGCTCAAGCCCGTACAGTTGTCGTCTGTCTGTCCGTTTGGCTGTCTTTTTATTGCTATCAATTTGCATAATTATGCGAGCGGCCTTACTGACCATTGGCGAATCTAGAGGGGGGTCATGGGGTCCTGACACCCCCCTTGGGCAAAAAATAAAAAATAAATTCTAGACCCGTGAGCTGAAATTTTTGTTGTTACAATGGGAAAATTGGAAGTCGGGATTCATTGAATCGTTTTCGAGAGAGGGAAAACCTAAAATTTAATGACGTAAAAGTAATTAAAAGACACCTCAGAAATCGGGAAAGCGCATTTCCCGCCATCTAGCAATCAAAATTTTGCCGACCGCCCCCCCCCCCCCGTTTTCTTTGGGATTCATCCATTCATGGAAAAAGAATACGTATGCTACTACTCATTTTTGGGGTTTTTTTTTTTTTGGAAAACTTCAGTAAACTTCTGCTGTGCTAGATTTGCATTGTTACGCGTTTAAATTCAGATACGTTGCGTTTCTTGCGTTTGCATTACACAAGTATGAATAAAATGTATGTTTACCTTTAGTTTGTTTTCCTTTCTGTTCACGATGACAGCTGTAATCTGTTGATCCATGAAGATGAGGATGGAACAGAGAAGGGCTGGAATAATTGCCACTATACACAGCCACCATGGGTTTTGAGAGGGGAAAGGGCTCACGAACCATCCCTCACGATCAGGGTTTGTAGGCTATAATAAAACAATATAATCAACATTAAGGCACGAAATGCAATTTATATTGTCGTAAAATTAATGTTATAATACTTCCTGATTTTTTTTATCTTATAGGCCAACAAACTCATTAAAAAGGTTGATTATTATGAAAGTTTAACACCTGCATTGGTTACAATGTTCAGAACATTACTAAACTTACTTCAATTGATTATTTTATGATTGATTGATGTCTTTCTATAATAGGCCTATGCTAAATATACAACATTTACAGCCAACTTTGTTTCTCTGTTATTACTGCATTTGAGCTTTTAAAGCCCTTTCAAGACCATCAAATTTGACAAAACATGTGACATGCTTTTGACCAATATTGTAGCTATGTGGCATAAGTATGGTCATGATGACATCACATCATGATCCTATACAACATACATTTACACCATAGGTACAACTTGACTATATGGGCATACAGCAGTTTTTTGTCAAATACAATTTGATAGTCTGGACAGGACTCTGCCTGGTACAAGCAAAGATACTAGAAACAGAACTAGAAACATTTTTGAGCAGTTCTTTAATCCTCGCCGATAGACCGAGAGAGCCCTTCGATGGCAAGCATTCTTCAATTAGGTAATCCTGCCATATAGACCCTTAAGTAGCTCCTGTTATTTTTGCAAATAAATGATACGTAAGACCAGCAAAAATTAATTAAATATGTATATCAAAATTTAATTTAAATCCGTCTAGCGTATATAGATTGTTGCTCTTTAAATTTGAATATGAGCGAGTCCTATACAAATCTTATGTTATTAATTTGATTATTATTATTTATAAATATTAAAATAATATAGGTCAGTTGGCCGCAATATATGAACTGTGCTTTGCTGTAAATGTTATAAATTGTAAGTGTTAAATGATATACAGGATCTGTTATATTCAACTTGTGTAATTATGGAACGTACATTTTATTGTATTCAAAGTCTCGCTTCTATTTTAATTTGTATTATGGCTGTACAGTATGTTACCTTTATAAACACACTGCAAGAGCGTGTCCGCTGTTTTAAAAGCGTCGTTTCCAAAATAAAGTTATAATAATTATATAATAGTATGCAATAGAAACAGCAAATCATTTTTAAGATTATTAAACATCACCTTTATCTTCATTGTCATTCGTATTTATACAGGCTGTACAAAGACTTGAAATTAGGAACAATTTTCTAATATTGTTTAGTGAACAACCTTTAAAGATCGTCAGAAAAGGTCGGAAAAAAATTATTATTTTTTTCTTATTTAGCTTAAATATTTTTCCGTACGCATCTAGGCGAATGAGAAAATAAAAATAAAATTTTAATGATGAACGTAAACAGTGTAATAATGCAACTGATAAATGATTTAAATTTATATAATTAAGGAAGAAATATATATATGTATATATATATATATATAATATATATTTAATATAACTATTAAAAACAATTTTAAAAAAAAGAGAAGGGCGCCGCGTACGTCTGGATCAATTTCCGCCTCATTTTTGCTATGCGAGTGCTCTATCGTGTATTTCTAGTATCTTTGGTACAAATCATATTCTACCACTAATTTCAACTCTCTGTATACTAGCTCACCTCGAACTCTGAGGGAATGGTAAGTTTCGGTGTTGGTAATTCAATGGCCCAATCAATAAGAGTCATAACAATGAAGGACAAGAATACGCCGAAATCACTGATAAGGAAACGAACCTGAAAAAAAAACCAAATTATAATAAAAACTGTTACTATTAGGCGAATTTTAATTGACCTTCTCGCTAAGCTTTGCTCTAATATGTGGGATATTATATAGCAGCAGAATGCATACTTGCGTATCTGTGGGTCAGGCGCGTATTTTGGCAATTAAATAATACCTTTCTAATTAGTCAGTTGTCAAGTTTGATGCTCTGAAGAGGTCTATCAAGAAGTAATGTTCGTCAATATTTCTTAATGTTATTGGTTTTCTGAATAGATTTGTTAAACAGAATTAATTGATTTGTATATTCTAACCAGTTATAGTCATCATAATATTTTCTTTTTAGTTTTATTTTAATTGATTTACGTGTATTATTATAGGTTTCATTTTATGACGCCTGCTTTAGGTATATAAAATTGCCAATAATAATATAATAATGATATTGAAAAATAATTTTTATCATTGTCATCAGCCCCATCAAAATAATAATAATAATAATAATAATAATAATAATAATAATAATAATAATAATTTATTATTATTATTATTATTATTATTATTATTATTATTATTATTATTATTATTATTATTATTATTATTATTATTATTATTATAATCTCACCCATGATGGGAAGAATCTAGAAAATCGGAAGAGCTTGGTTGACATGGCGAGTACGAACGTCGCAAAGAAGAGAATTAGCGAAAAAAAGAAGACGTCTGGTACGGGCATGTGCTCGCAGTATTCTCCCTCTATTGTGCCTCCATTCGTCTCGCAGTCCTCAGGAGATATCCAGCTTAGGTTGGTTTCTGTGTTGTTTGGAACACACATACAGTCATACACTGGGTACGGTTCGTATCGATCTAATTCTCTATGGTTAGAATTTTAAAAGAAGATGAGAGAGTAATATATAAATTTGAAATAACAATTAAGGATCATGAATATGAAAGTTATACTGAGGGTCAACAAAAACTGGACCAAGGACATTATCAAGGTAAGCTCTGTCCACACTATCAGGTTTGTATGATGTTGTGACATCATCATGCACATCTTTTTGTATATATATATATATATATATATATATAT